GCTGGAAGGCTGAGGCGGAAGGATCGCCGGAGCCCAGCAGGTCGAGGCTGCGGTGGCCGAGAGTGGCCACTGCACTCCAGTCTGGGCGACAGAGTGAGATTCCAACTCAAAAAAAAAACACAAAAAAAACAAATCCCAATTAAGTGTTGTATTAGTTTAACAAATTCAAGGATGTGCTCCTGATATTGAGGACATTGGTGTAGAGGCTTAGGGGTGTGTGTAGAGAGGGCCTCTGTGCTGGGGTGTGGTGGGTGTGAGGGGGCAGTGGTGTCTGGGTCGAGGGGTGCAGAGAAGCCTAGAAGAGGAACCCTCCCTGGAATGTGCTCTGGAGCTTGTGGTGTGATGAGATGGGATTTCAGGGGGAGAGCCAAGGTCAGGTTGGGCTCTACCGGATTGGATCCAAGGGACAAGGCTTGGACAGGGCAGCAACTAAGTGGCTCCTGTGTGACTCAGGAGAAAAGGATGAGGCCCAATGTGGGTCTTGGTAGAGGGGATGGAGAGGCGACCATTTTCCAGAGCTACTTACAGGGCTTTCTGACTGGATGCTGGATGGGAGGGAGAGGGAGGAGCCAGAACAACACCAGTTTTCTTTTTTTTTTGAGTCGGAGTCTCACTCTGTCATCCAGGCTGGAGGGCAGTGGCATGCTCCCGGCCACTGTAGCCTCAACTGCTGGGCTCAGACGATCCTTCCTCCTCAGTCTTCCAAGTAGCTGAAACTACAGGCACGTGCCATCATGCCTGGCTAATTTTTTTATTTATTGTAGAGATGTGGTCTCATCAAGTTGCCCAGGTTGGTCTCGAACCCGCGGGCTCAGGCAATCCTCTCACCTCGACCTCCTAAAGTGATGGGATTATAGGCGTGAGCCACTGCGCCTGGTACCAGTTTTCTTTTCCAAACACCTGAATGGATGGCAGCACCCTCTCCCTGAGTCTGGGCTACAGGATGCAGAGAAGGAGCTGGCTGCAAGTGGGGGAGGTGATGAGCTCAGAGGAAAGGACAGGGAGAGTGGGCAGGTGGCAGGAATAGCCCAGGGAGCTGCTGTGGGCTCTGTGGGGTGGGCTGGCTGGAGCATCTGGAAGCCGCTGGATGGGGAGTCGGGGCGCATGGGGGAGGGGAGTGAAAGCCAGAGGAGGGCAGGTCTCCCCAGTGCCACTGTCTCTCATCTGGCGCCTTCTTATCCTTCAAGTCACAGCTGAAGTGTGGCCTCTTCAGACAGGCCTGTTCAGCCGTCTAAGCCAGTGCTCTGTCATTTCCACACAGCACTGTTTCTCTGCATGACCTGTCTATTATTTAACCTGTTTATTTTCTTGAATGTAGGCTCTCTGAACACAGGGACCTTGTCTGTCTTGGATATCTCTAGATTCATAGCCCCAACATAGTCCTTGGCGCATGGTAGGAATCTATAGCATGTTTGCTGACTGACTAGATCAATGAATGATGGAAGGAAGTAGCCGCAGAGAGGCAGGAGGGAAACCAGGAGTATAGTGTCCCCATATGCAGGAGGAACCGAAAAGAGCTGGTGTTGGACTCAATACCTTTGAATGCCTCTGTGAGACCAAGTGTGAGAAGAAAAATATCAGGAATCTGTTGAGTTTGGCAGCAGGGAGGGACCTTGTTAAGATCGGGGCGGGGGAGCGGTTAAGGTGAAATGCAGTGGTTGTAACTCAGTGTTTACTAATTGGTCAACACCCTTGATGAGGAAATAGGCAGGTGTTTGTAGGCAGGCTGAATCCCAAGACTCCGGGAGCCCCCGGGGCTTGGCAGTCAGGTGTCTTCTCAAATGCCTCTCCTCCTGCAGAGACTGACCACCTGGCCACCCTTCCTGTGTGCCGCCCACTCACCACTTTGTTTCATTTCTTTTGCTCCTCACTACTTAAAATCTTATTTTGTTTACCTATGGATGATCTGCTCAACCTGTTTCTGCCCTGTGTGGGCACATGGGCATGGCTTTTTGTTCACAGCCGAATCCCCATACCTATGTGGTGCTTGATATAGGGCGGGCATGTAATACATACACGGGAGGACCCCCAAAAACCCGGAATTTCCTTATAAAAAATCGTGTATTCTTACATGTTCAAATTTCAGGCACCTTCAAAGTATTCTCCATTTGCTGCTGTACACCTATTGGGACACTTTTCCACTGCTTTAAACGGTTTTTTGAACTTGTCAATTTTGATGCCTTTTTGTTTCACCCCTTCTATATCAACAAAACATTTCTCTTTGAGGACTTTTTTCATTGGGGAAACAAAAAAAGTCACTCAGGGTGAGATCGGGTGAACAGGGAGGGTGGGGAACGGGAATTGTGCTGTTTTTCGTCAACAGTTGTGGGCAGTTACGTGCTCCTAAATCATCCATCATGAAATGGGTCAACATGCTGAAAGACTTTCCAACTAAAAATTCACTGAAGCCAAACCCAGCCTCTCACAACAATGCTAACTTGCACACTGATGCCAATGGGTTCCTAGAACATTTACCTAACAGGGGAAGCCTGTCCTACAAGGGACCCGCCCTACAATAAAAATTCTGGTTTTTTTTAGTCCCACCTTGTATCTACAGAATGAGTGTGTAAGTCTTCCCTTTCAGGTGTGGCCTCTAGGCACAGACCTAGCCACCCAGGATGGGTCTTCTGGCTTTTGTCCTCCCCTGGTTGGGGTTGTGTGGTTAGGTGCAGGTAGACAGTCAGCAGGCAGTCTTTACTGGGTGGACAGCACACTATAGTTTGCCTTTATGGTCCTAGGCAAGGCATTTCCTCTCTCTGAGCCTCCATTTCTTTATCTGTACAATGGGAATGGTAGTAAGATTTTATCAAAATATGGGTTGCATCAGCACGGTACCTGGCATACAGGTGGCTGCCATTGCTGGTCATTATTTGTAATGGTTTAATAATCAGCCTGGAGCTGGATGCAGTGGCTTACGCCTGTAGTTCCAGCTACTTGGGAGGCTGGAGTAGGAGGATCACTTGAGCCCAGGAATTCAAGTTCAACCTGGGCAACAGAGCAAGACCCTGTCTCAAAAAAAAAAAAAGTTATCCTGAGCGTGGCCTCTCACTGGACACCCCTTCCAGCAGGCTTTCGGTAGGAGATATATCCACACTCTACAGGGATGGCAAGGGCCTGCTCAGGCTGGGCCATGTTTCTAGTGTCATAACTGTGGGTGGGCGTTTCACGGATTGGCATGTGACAGTGAGCTTCTGCTTGGGTATGTATGTATGGGGACTGAGCAGCATGGGCCACATGTGTCTGCTGCAGGTATGTCAGCCTTTGGGGACTGGGGGACTGATTCAAGGGCATTCCCCACAGAACCCAGACCTAGACTCAGAGGCGCTGCTGGCCCTGCCCCTGCCTCAGCTGGTACAGAAGTTACACAGTGGGGAGCTGTCACCGGAGGCTGCACTTTTCACCTATGTGGGAAAGGTAAGGCCAGCCAAAGAGCTTCCCTGCTTTTCCCTCCCTCTCTCTGCACAGGCTGTAGGGAAAACCTGGCCTGGAGTTAGTACTGCCATAGTAGTACCACAGTGCCTGGGGCTGCCAGGGAGAGAAAGCCAGAGCCCTGTGTGTGTGTGTGTGTGTGCGCGTGCGTGTGTGCATGTATGCGTGTGTGTGTGTGTGTGTGTGTGTGTGAGAGACGCTGTGTTGTCTTAGCTAGAAAGCTGGCTTTCAGCCCAGATTTCACTCTCCCTTCTGCTTCCACCCCATCTTTCGCCAAATCTGGTCTGTTCCCTTCTTATATCTCCCTGCTCTCCCCTTATCTTCACCTCCCTTCAGCCACTCTGGCCCTCCACCACTATCTCCCTCCATGCCCAAGTACTATCCTCCTGGCCAGGTGCCCTCTTGGGTTCCTATCCCCGCTCTTGTTCTCCTGTCTCTGGATCCCCTCTGGCCCAGGCCCAGGCTCAGGCTGTCTGGAGCTCAGTGTGCTGTGCTGTGCACTGGCTTGGGTGGGGCTCCCTTACCTGGAAGGCTCTTTCCCTCTTCTCTGTGCCTCTTGGTGCTGCGGGCTCCCCTGGCTGGGCCTTCAGGCCTCAGAGCAGAAGGTACTCCTGCCCAGGAAGCCTTGCCTGGCCCTCTGACCCTCCCAGCCCTCTCTGGGCAGATAATCCATTGTTAGTGTGTCTTTCCTTTTAGTCAAGCTCCTACCCCCTTGAACATACTCTGCCTTACTTGATTATCAGATTCAAGAGCTCCTGGGAAAGGGGAGGCTTGACTGGGCCAGGTTGGGCCAGGCATGAGACAGAGGAGGGAGTACTGGGCTCTGAGATGCTGGGTTCTGGGTCAGCCTTGCTCTGTAGCTGCCCTGAGGTGGGTGCCTGCCCCTGTTTAGTTCCTGTCTGCCTCACTGGGCAATGATGTGGCTTGGAGGAGGTGGGGGAACAAACAGCCAACGGTCATCTTCCTCCCAGCTCACCCCCTGCTAGGGGGCATCTGAGGCCAGTATCTTGCTCCCTTGGGTGTCCTGGTCTTGGGTGTACTTTCTGTGCCTTGGGGTTGAAGGCCAGAGACAATCAGGAGGAGGCTGGGGCCAGATGTCCCCACTGAGGTAGGTGCTGGGCCCTAGGTCATCCTCTGGGCTCTGAGCCCAGAGCCATGTTGCTGATTACCCTTTCCCTTATACTTTAAAAGACCAATTTTGGACAACCCCCTCAGGTCACCTCCCGCTTTGGGAGTTTTTCTGTCCTTTCTATAAATCTTGCTTTTTCAACCCCAAATAAATAAATAAATGAATAAAAGTCCAATTTCATATGACGAATATTTAACCATAATTTTTAAAAAGGCCAGCTTCACTCTACCTTGTATCCATTTCCTCCTCCTTCAGGCCTGGGAAGTGAACAAAGGGACCAACTGTGTGACCTCCTATCTGGCTGACTGTGAGACGCAGCTGTCCCAGGCCCCAAGGCAGGGTCTGCTCTATGGCGTCCCTGTGAGCCTCAAGGAGTGTTTCACCTACAAGGTACGCCCTGCCTCAGCTTCAGGTCCCCACTGTCCCCTCCATCCCTGCCAGCCAGCTGTGTCCTGGGTCCTAAGAGGAGGTGTCAGGCCCAGAGGCCTTGAGAGGGAATGCTGGGTGGGCCTTGCTTTGGCCTGTATGACAGTGGTGGGAGTGGACCCCGGGCCTCCCGAGGACCCTGACTCATCAGCAATGTCCCTCTTGGTGCCCATCCCCCCTCCCAGGGCCAGGACTCGACGCTGGGCTTGAGCCTGAATGAGGGGGTGCCAGCGGAGAGTGACAGCGTGGTGGTACGCGTACTGAAGCTTCAGGGCGCCGTGCCCTTCGTGCACACCAATGTCCCCCAATCCATGTTCAGGTTGGGTCTTGCGGGTAGGGTGGGGGTAGAGGCACTGGTGCCAGCATGACATGGCTGACCCCTTCTTGCTTCCTCCAGCTATGACTGCAGTAACCCCCTCTTCGGCCAGACTGTGAACCCATGGAAGTCCTCCAAGAGCCCAGGTGGCTCCTCAGGGGGTGAAGGGGCTCTCATTGGGTCTGGAGGCTCCCCCCTGGGCTTAGGCACAGACATCGGAGGCAGCATCCGTTTCCCATCCTCCTTCTGTGGCATCTGTGGCTTGAAGCCCACGGGAAACCGCCTCAGGTATGAGGAGGTGGAGGGAGCTTCTGGGCCCCTCATTGTGTAACCTTGGCTTAGCTTCTGGCCTCTCTGGCTCCAGGCAGGGATTCACTCATCAGAGTTTTGCTGGGAGGGAGCATTACAGCACCACTAGCCACGCATGGGTCGTGATTTCCAAAGTCGTGAGAGTTCAGAGCTGCTGTGTGGGTGAGGGGTTGGGCAGAGGGTGGCCATTCCCTGTTTTCAGTGTCTTGTGTTTCTTATCCAGCAAGAGTGGCCTGAAGGGCTGTGTCTGTGGACAGGTGGCAGGTGAGATCTGTGGTCCTCTCAGTGACCTGGAGGAGGGTGGGGGTTGGCCTGAATTCGCCTCTGCCCTGCTTCTCTGGTGGGGGTGGGCAGCATCTGACCCCAGGCCGCACTGGGTCTGAGTTCCCCCTCCTTGTCTTGCTCATGTTCTCTCCTACCTGCCCCACAGTGCAGCTCTCCGTGGGCCCCATGGCCCGGGATGTGGAAAGCCTGGCGCTATGCCTGAGAGCCCTGCTGTGTGAGGACATGTTCTGCCTAGACCCCGCTGTGCCCCCTTTGCCCTTCAGGGAGGAGGTAAGCAGGGGTGGGCAGGGTATGGGGTAGACTCCTGAACCCAGGCACACCATCCCAGGCAGTGTGGCAGGCAGGGAGGCCCTGTCTCCTGAAAACTACCCACAGGGCACTGAGGCTAGGGTCAGCTTCTCCTCCACAGATGGCCACCAGATGGAGCCCTGGCCTGCATTTGGAAGCCCCCAGGTTTTCAAAGGGACCCCAGCCTCTGCTGCTGTGGCTATGACACAGCTGAAAATCACTCCCCAGCCCCAGAATGCCTGTACCTGGGCTGTACTTGATGCTCAGTAAACAGCAGCTTTCTTACTGCAGTCCTGCCCAGATGATGCTTGGCATGTAGGCTGAGTGAGCTGGGATCTGTGGGCAGTGTAGAGTGCTGGCTCCCCAAAATACCACCATGAGAAAGAGCCTTAGGAGACAGGCTGAGCTGACTGCTGTTGGTGGTGAGGGAGTGCCCTGCCTCAACAGAGCCTCAGGGGCTCTCAGAGAGAGCGAGACAAAGGGAGTATTTGTTGAGATTTTGAAGTCTGGTTTAGGGTGGGTCTTTTGACACAGGAGTGGGAGTGGGGTGGGGGTGGGGGTGAGGGGGGATTGGTTAAGACTAGGTAAGAGTCATGATGTGCCGGGCTTGGTGGCTCAGCCTGTAATCCCGTGCCTTGGGAGGCTGAGGTGAGTGGATTGCCTGAGCCCGCGGGTTCGAGACCCACCTGGGCAACTTGGCAAGACCTCATCTCTACAATAAATCAAAAATCAGCTGGGCGTGGTTGCGCGTGCCTGTAATTCCGGCTACTTGGAAGGCTGAAGCGGAAGGATCACCGGAGCTCAGCAGTCGAGGCTGCAGTGGCTGCACTCCAGTCTGGGCGACAGAGTGAGACTCCAACTCAAAAAAAAAAAAGAAAGAGTCATGATGTAATAGTTAAGGACTGGTCGACACAACAAGGTGAGTATTTGGGATGAGAGGTTCAAAAGGTCATGGAGGGTAAACTGCCATTTGATGCTTTCTGTTGAAGAGTTGATGAGTTGTTCCAGAATGAACAATAAGTTTATTTGTACTCATGTGTAAAGTATTCAGGAGTAGTAAAGTTAGATTCATGCAGACAAGGAATAGTTCATGTGGACCGTAAGCTGTGAGATGTAAGTCCATTTCTCAGCAGTCCAGCATCTTTCTCTCTCTTCTGTATAGACCTCATGCCCTCACCCCAGCCAAGGGTGCCTTGGAAGGGCTGAAGGTTTGTGGACAGGAGAGGGCATTAGTGTTTCTTGGGAGTTGGCAGGTGGCCAGACCTGGGCTGGGTGAGATGTGCTTCCCCTCCTCAGCAGAGGGGGATGTTCTAACCAAACCCAGGGATTCCTGAGAAGGAGGAGAGGAAGTTCCTGTCTGGAAGTCGGGGACAATTTATCATGGGAGTGAGGACAGGTGGTGGAAAGCCTTGGCTCAGGTGGCAGGCTGCCTGGGTTCCAGACCTACCTTGTCACTCTGTACTGGGTGGCTTTGGGCAAGTCTCAGCTCCATCCTGGGCCTCTGTCTCTCTTCCTGGACCTCAAACCTCAGTTTCCTCAGATAGGAATCCTCATCCTTGTTCTGCTCATCTGCAAGTCACTGTGAAGGTGTTTTATGACAGGGTCAGATGCAGAAGTAGGACATCCTCTCCCAACCTGACCCTGACCCTGTGTTTTGCCTCCAGATCTACACAAGCTCTCGGCCCCTGCGTGTGGGGTACTATGAGACTGACAACTATACCATGCCCACCCCGGCCATGAGGCGGGCTGTGCTGGAGACCAAGCAGAGCCTCGAGACTGCCGGGCACACGGTATGGCTGCAGGGTCCCAAGTGTCCTGGCATCTCCCTTCCTCCAGGCAAGCCTTCCTGGTACCCATGGCCTCTTCCTCCCTGGCACCCTGATTGTTTTGTGGTTGGCAATGGGGACTGTGGCCCTGTGGGACCAGTGTATAGAAGGCTGATCTGGAGTATGGAGTGAATGATTGATGGCAAACTCAGCCCTGTGTTGGGCGATGAGTGAACACTGCATTTGGGAGGCCTTGTCCACTGCAAACAATGGTGCACAGATGTCTAGAGGTTCCCAGGGCCAGTGGGTTTTGGTTTGGTCATCTAGATAGCTTCATGTGTGGCTCCAGACTTCTCCCATCCTGTGCCTTTGTGGCTCTAGTAAGAGGTACAATGTGGGCAGGGTTGGTCCAATCCATCCGCAGGGCTGCCTGGACAGCATTGGGGTCATAAATTCAAGAGTTGCTAGGTTGGGAACGCTTTCACCCCTCGATCTCTGCAGCTGGTTCCCTTCTTGCCAAGCAATATTCCCCATGCTCTGGAGATCCTGTCGACAGGTGGGCTCTTCAGTGATGGCGGCCACGCCTTCCTACAGAACTTGTGAGTGATGGTGGGCTTTGGGGTCTTGGTGGGATAGGAAAAGTGGGAAGACCCAGGGGTAGCAGTTGGGTGCTGTGACAGGCCTCGGCTGATCACAGGAAGGCTTGAGTGTTCTAGACAGGGACTTTGCTGTCCCTCTACCCATGCACATTGAGCCTAGAGAACCCTTGTCAGAGAGACTTTGGAAAGGTGCTGGCCTGAGGGGAGCTAGATTGAGCATCTGTGACCTGCCCCTGAGCTGAGCTTGTGAGGTAGGAGGTGGGTGGAGGTGGGGGATGCCTGCTTGCTTGGGAAACAATAGAGGGCAGGGGCAGGATCCAGGCAGGAGGATGGGGTGACTTCAGGCTCTGACTTGAGCAAAGTCCTTTTGAGCAGGACCTCAGTTTTCTCTTCTGTAAAGTGGGTGGGTTGGACAAGACTCACTTTAAGGGACTTGGCAGAGCTCTTGTTGAGATAAATTGGTTCCTTTTGACTGTTTGCAGGGGCAGAGGACAGGCCTGTGAAGGTGCCTTCTGGTGATGTGCCTGGGCTGGTCAGTCTGGTGCCCAGACACAGACCCACTTCCTCTGCCTCACCTATGGGGAAGCTTGGCCCTGCAGCTTTGCTCAGTCAAGGGCCCAGCTTGTCATGTTCTTCTCCCTTTCCCAGCCGAGTATGGTCCAGTCTTCAGCAGAAAGGGCTACCTCTTACTCTAGCCCCGGGAATGAGGCTGCAGGATCAGCTGCCTGAGACCTTGCCTGAGCTCTGAGCCAGAGATAGCCTCAGAGACATGCTTCATGGGCAGCCCACCCTGGACTGTCCCATTTGTGCCTCCAGGGTGGCCTCAGTGAAGCCAGGTCAGGGAGATGTTGTCCCAGTCTTTACTGCTCTGAGCTGGATTTTTGGGAGAGGGAGGCACTGAGTCCTGCCTTGGGAACTCTGGGGGTGTGGAGTGGAGCCTAGCATCCCGAAGGATCAACAGAAACAAACCACATGTTTGAAAGTGGCAAATGAAGGTATAGGAGACCAGTAGTTACTGGAGTCTGGTGAGAAGAACGTGGGCCGGGTCACTGAGTAGAGAAGGGGATTGCAGTGGGTAGGGTATGCAGGCCAAGAGGGGTGCTAAGATGGGAATGCTGGTCTTTTGTCTCCCAGCAAAGGTGATTTCGTGGACCCCTGCTTGGGAGACCTGATCTCAATTCTGAAGCTGCCCGGGTGGCTTAAAGGGCTGCTGGCCTTCCTGGTGAAGCCTCTGGTGAGGGCACACAGAGCAGAGAGGACCTGAGTGGGTGGGAGAGAGCCTCTGGAGCCTTCCTTCCCATGATACCTCATGGATTTCCCTTAGTCTCTCTTGGTTTGGGCAGGTATGGCCTCCTCTTCTCTCCAGCCCCCACCCAGACTACTCTCCTCCCTTGTCCCCTACAATCTTCAGCCAACTTGCATGCTGAAAAGGATGCCAACTTGGGCCCTGTGGGGAGGAACAGAGGGAAGAGGCCCAGTGGCTTGGCCTGAAAAATGTTGGCACCAACCCTGGTTCAAAGCTGAGTCACTGACCCTGTGTCTGTCCTGTGCAGCTTCCAAGGCTGACGGCCTTCCTCCGCAACATGAAGCCTCGGTGAGAGTACTTTCTGTGCCCAGATGCCTGCCCCTGTCTTTAGCTGTCCTGAGTCTGGGTCTGGGTGGCTTCTGGCAGGGAAAGACTGGAGGGAAATAGCTTCTGAGGCTGAAAGTGACCCAGGCAGGGGGGCAACCTCTGGGGACTTTGAAGTTGTCTTGACTGGGTCCAGGTCCAGATGGAGAGCAAAGACCTGAGGGGGATAGCAGGACAGAGGAGGTGGAGAGGAGGAGGCTAACCTAGCTGGGGTGTGGGTAGAAAGGACCAAGAAGGGTTTGGCCTGGGCTGGGGGAAGGGATAATGGGCACTGTGCAATCCAGGAAAGAGGCTGCTCTTAGATATCTGAACTGAACTGAGCTATACTAGGTGCTACCTGTCCTTAATGGCTTGAGCTGGAAAAGCAGGGCCCAAACCACTCCATCTCAGGCCCCAGTAATCCTGTGGACTCACTCCTTCTCTCACCACTAGGCATTCAGGACCTTAGACAGCTCCAACATTGTCTGTGTCCTGAGAGTGGCGAGGTATCAGGCCTGGTCTAGTCCTGCCTCTGCTGTGGAGTCACTAAGTGACGATCTGAGTCCCTCTTGGAGCCTGGTTTTCTCATATGGAGTTCAAACCAGTAGAGGTTGGAACTTTTCCCCTCTCAGAGCTCCCTGGGGTTGAGAAGGTCCATGGAGGAGTGAGGTGCGACATCTGAAAGTGTTGGCAGTAGGGGGTCTGATGTTGCTAATCCCCATGGCTGTGACCACCATAACTGGTGACCTCGCTTCTTCTGCCCAGGTCGGCTGGAAAACTCTGGGAACTGCAGCATGAGATTGAGGTGAGGCCAGAGCCCCTAGACTAGATAGAGCAGGGTGGCAGGGGCGGGTGGAGTTAGGGCACCTGCAGCAGGTCTCGTGGCCACTGCCCCCACTGGGCTTCTGGAGTGACCTATTGTCCCTTCCACTCCCTGAACCCCACTGCGTGGGCCCTGCTCTCTGACTCTTATTTGCCCAGATTCCCCTTCTGGGGCTCCAGACCTGGATGACTCTTTGCCTCTTTGGGGCTGTCTGTGGCCGCCCTGGCAGGAAGAGTCGTGTCCACAGTTCATGTGGGAGGTGGAGCGACTGATGCCCCCTGAGGAGGTCTGTGTCCTGTCGTGGCTCAGTTCAGATCCAGGGGCAGGTGCTGGGGCCAGAGCCACCCCAGCCACAGTCCCCACATTAGAGAGCCTGTGGCAGGCTGGGTCTGAGTGCCTTACCTGTGCGCCGGTGTCCTCCTCAGCTGTACCGCAACACGGTGATTGCCCAGTGGAGAGCGCTAGACCTGGATGTGCTGCTGACTCCCATGTTGGGTCCTGCTCTGGACTTGAATGCCCCAGGCAGGGCCACAGGTGAGGCCTGCTGACCCACTCACATCCCTGACACCCTGCCTGTCCCTTCTGTGAGCCCTGCAGGGCTATCAGGAAGTAGAAGAAGAAGAGAAGCATTGGAGGAGCACCCCACCCCTAGGGGAGGACACTGCCTTGGGGGGCTCACAGCCTGGCTGGCTGATGGGAGTCATGTGGGATGCCCTGGGAGGGAGTGAGCTCCCTGTCCTCAGCACTATTCAAGTTGGGCATCTTGAGTTACAGAGTCTGTGGTTTGGGGAAGTGGAGGTTTGAAGTTCAGTGGGATTTAGGTCAGCCAGTAAAATAGGAAAAACATTCCAGGTGGGAGAAACTGTGTGAGGAAGGGCACAGGGCCAAGGTCAGTGGGATGTCCAGCCAGCTCCGCAATCTGGATTCTTGGACTTTGTCACTTAGAGCTCAGCCCTGCGAGAGAGCCTTTCCCTGGGTGCCATTTCATAGGAGGGGCTGACAGGCCCAGGGTCAGCACTGAAGGTCCCAGGACCTGCTCCAGTGACTTGTGATGCGTTTTAGGGGCCGTCAGCTACACTCTGCTCTACAACTGCCTGGACTTCCCTGCAGGGGTGGTGCCTGTCACCACCGTGACTGCTGAAGATGAGGCCCAGATGGAACATTACAGGGGTTACTTTGGGGACATCTGGGACAAGATACTGCAGAAGGTGAGGCCTGGCCCACCCCTATCCCCTGAGCTCACCTCCCATCCTGGCTGTAGCTGCTCAGAGGAAACCATCAACCCTTGAGGTCTTCTCGGGCCTTTTTTTTTTTTTTTTTTGAGTTGGAGTCTCACTCTGTCACGTAGACTAGAGTGCAGTGGCCGCTTCCGGCCACCACAGCCTCGGCCTGCCGAGCTCCGGCGATCCTTCCGCCTCAGCCTTCCAAGTAGCTGGAACTACAGGCGTGCGCTACCACACCCAGCTAATTTTTTTTTTTTTGAGTTGGAGTCTCACTCTGTCGCCCAGACTGGAGTGCCAGTGGCCACTCCCGGCCACCGCAGCCTCGACCTGCTGGGCTCCGGCGATCCTTCCAAGTAGCTGGAACTACAGGCGCGTGCTACCACACCCAGCTAATTTTTGATTTATTGTACAGATGAGATCTCGCCAAGTTACTCAGGCAGGTCTCAAACCCGCGGGCTCAGGCAATCCACTCACCTCAGCCTCCCAAAGTGCTGGGATTACAGGCTGAGCCACCGAGCCCGGCTTGTCTGGCCTTTCTTAAAGCAAGATCCAGACGACTGTGCCTGGACCTTTTTTGCTGTCTCTCTCCAGCTGGGGTGCTTCCTGGGCCTGGGGTGGGGTCCTACCTTGCCACCCCATCCTGATGCCGGTGTCCCCTGCAGGCCATGACGAAGAGTGTGGGGCTACCTGTGGCCGTGCAGTGCGTGGCTCTGCCCTGGCAGGAGGAGTTATGTCTGCGGTTCATGCGGGAGGTGGAACGATTGATGACTCCTGGAAAGCAGCCATCCTGATGGCTCTGGCTCTGGAGGACCTGAGACCCACACGCTTTGCAGCCCAGCCTAGTCGGGGCATAGCTGTCACCCTGTGAGGAATGTCTGGCAGGGGGCAGAGGCTTCCGTGTCCTCTCCCCGACCTCCTGTAAGAAACACAGACCCCCGAGTCTGGACTTTGCTTCCTGTCCTGGTCCCCTCTCTCTACCCTGATCCCTCACCTCTGTGTGACAGTCAGTGGGTGTGACATGGGCCAAGGCCCAACTAATAGTCAAGAACAGTTTCTCGTCTATGTACTTTCTTGGCGTCCTCATTAGGGTGCTGTGGGCCGCAGCCTGCTGAGTGCAGGGCTGGCATGGCCATCCAGAGCTGGACTCCAGCCGTGCCAGTCTCCTGTTCTGTAACTCCCTCCCCACTCCCTGGGTACCATCACCCAGGGCAGGAAAAGGAGGGACACACGCTGGTGTCCCCTAGCACTTCCCTCTGCCCACCCTCCCTCACTTAGACCAAGTCCTGCTGTGCTGGACGCTGCCCACTGTCTCCTTTCCTCCTTGGTTCCTGCCTGGGATGCCCTTCCTGCTCCTCTTATTCTGGCCTTTGAGGCCTGGCTCGGACTCTTCTTTCTCCAAGAGTCCTTTCCTCCTTCCTCTGAGCCCTGGAGTACGTGGGCTATTCCTTTCCAGTCTGCCCCATGTGGTGGGCATCTGTGGGTGGGTCTGTCTCCCTTAACACACTGGCTCTCCTCAATGGCAGGGACTGCACTGCTACATTTTATCCTCTGAGACCAGCACAGGACAGGGCACAGGGCAATGGAGGAAGCACCTGAGGTGGGCTGCAGGGAGTCTGGCGTCTGGCCCTGAGCTGGTGCTGTTGGAGAGAGGACCCTAGAGACCTGGGGAGGTGAGCACGAGACACGATGATGCAGCAGAGAGGCCCACAGGGCTGTCCAAGACCCACATTGCTCAGGGAAGGCTTCCTGAAGGAGGTGGAACTGTGTGAAATCTAGAAGTTTCCCAGAGGTTGAGATAGGGGGTGAGGACATCCCAGGGAGAAGGGACAGTATGCCCAAAGACTGAGGTGAGTTTGGTAATAGCAGGCATGTTGAATGGGCACAAGAGAAGCAGAGATGTATGTGAGGCCAGATCAAGGGGGAACTGGGTAGCTAAGTCAGGAGCTTGAATTCTGTCTCAAAGGCAATGGTGAGCTCTTGAAAAATCAGAGCTCTTCGAGACCCGCCTGGGCAACTTGGCGAGACATCATCTCTACAATAAATAAATTTAAAAAAAAAATTAGCCGGGTGTGGTAGCGTGAGCCTGTAGATCCAGCTACCTGGAAGGCTGAGGTGGAAGGATCGCCGGAGCCCAGCAGGTCGAGGCTGCGGTAGCTGGGAGCGGCTACTGCACTCCAGTCTGGGCGACAGAGTGAAACTCCAATTCAAAAATAAAAAAGAAAAATCAGAGCTCTGCCAGGAGAGTAGACTGGCAGGGCAAAGCCTGGAGAAGGACAAGGAAGTTGTCCCTGATTAGGGGAAAGGGGCCTAAGGCCTGAGCCAAGGCCCATGGCTAGTGAGGGGCTCTTTGGGAATTGACAGATGGTTTGGAGGTGAACTGTCTCAGCTCAGTCTCACTCCTGCCCAGTCTGCCAACTTGACTCTTCCTGGACATTTTCAATGGTGGGTAGTAGGGTGGCTAGTCTGTAGTACACTCTAGGGCTTTCTGGAAGTTCCCTTGCTCTTCTCTTGCCCAGCCCTAACTCTCCTGCTAGCTGGAGGATGTACTTCAGAGCCTGAGCCCCCGGCTCCCACCTGGCCTATTTCAAATTCTTTTCAGGGCAAGTGGCCTTCCCAAGGCTTCCTTCTCCATCCTGGTTTTCTAATCCTCCAGAAGGGCTTCAGGTTGTCCTGCCCAGTGGTGTCTGTACTCCCTACCAATGCCATTCCTGCCTCAGTGGAGCCAGATTCAGTTTCAGGGTAGATGTGAGGCTCCGTACCCTGGAACTGACTTGAAGGTGCAGCTTACACGGGGACACCTAGATTGAGATAGCCAGGTAGATGTTGCATCTTTGCCCTGGTTTCTTGTAACCTAGATTGGGATAGCCAGGTAGATGCTGCAATTTTGCCTCTTATGTCGTAAAACCACCTGCCATCTGCCCCAACTTCCTCCTCCCCCTGCCTCTTATCTCCCTTTTGGTTACTGATATCATATCTCGTGCTTTCAGACACGAGACTGCAGAACTCAGGTGCCACTCCTTCATTCTTTCACTAGTTCATTGCTTCGGCCCTTGGAGCCTCAGCATGGCCATGGCCAGCCCTCAGCTGAGTGGTGCTTGAAACTGACCCCAGCCAAGCCTGGCTCTCATCCTGGAGAAGCTCCTGGGCTTTCAGGGGAGTGGACATGTCTGTGCACCCTGCGATCAGGGCTGGTAGAACGAATAGACACGGTGCCAAACGCTGCCAAGGGAAGGGGGACATGGTCACTGAGGCTAGTAGGTGTCCACTGTGTTTCATCTCCACCATGTTCTGGTCCAAGCCACCTCTCATCTGGACACTGCAATAACTTCCCTGCTGGGCTCTCTGCCTCTCCCACCCCGCCAGTCCTCCAATCCATTCTCCATACAATAATTGAATGATCCTTTGGTGTAAATCAGATTGAGTCACATCTCTGCTTAAGGTCTTCTAGTGTAGTGGCTTCCCATCCTGCCTAGAATAAAATCCAGCCTCCCATGTGTGTCTTCCAAGGCCCTGCATCATGTGCTTTTACTACTCCCTAACTTTATCTTGTGTGTCTCTTCCTGTCCTTTACTGTGCTCCAGCCACACGAGACCTTCAGGTTTCTTCTTTTTTTTTTTTTGAGTTGGAGTCTCACTCTGTCGCCCAGGCTGGAGTGCAGTGGCGTGCTCACAGTCACCACAGCCTCACCGTGCTGGGTTCAGGCGATCCTTCTGCCTCAGCCTTCCAAGTAGCTGAAACTACAGGCACGCACCCCCGTGCCAGGTTAATTTTTGATTTATTGTAGAGCTGAGGTCTCACTAAGTTGCCCTGACTGGTCTAGAACCCATGGGCTCAGACAGTCCTCTCACCTCAGCCTCCCAAAGTGCTGGGATTATAGGCGTGAGCCACTGCACCCAACCGACCGTGTGGTTTTTTGATCATCTCAAGTTGGACCCTGCTTCAGAGCTTTCATATTGGCTGTTCCCTCTGCTCAGCTCTAATGTCACCTTCCCTGACCACCTGCTTGTAAAACAGCTTTGTTTTTCTCTAATGTGTCACCTTTTGTTATGACGTGATTGCTGTCTGAAATCATTGTTTTTTTGTCCCCTCTAAAACATAAGCTGAGAGCCCCACTTTGTCTTATTCCTTACTACATCCTTGGCATGGACAGTGGTACTTAGTTCCGGGAACAAAATGTGAGTGAGCATCTGCAAGGACCCAGACACTGTGCTGGGTGCTGGGTCTGCAGTGACCAAGGAGGTAGACTGGGTCCCTGTGGAGCTCACATTCTGGAGAGATTTGTTGAATGAAGGGAAGAGAAGAGGCAGGCAGGTGCACTAATGGAGACCCCTATATATCTAGTGGAGTGATAAGGTGACTTTTGACCAAGAAAAAAAGGGAAAAGGGCATTCTAAAACACATTTACTGAGAGTATCTACCATTACCCATCTACCTTCTGGGCACCTTATAGTTGTCGTGCCATTTGATCCTCTATTAAACCTATTATAGGCATTTTTGCCCCCATTTTACAGAAAAGTTGCATGTCTTGCCCGAGGCCCCAGAGCTAGAAGTGGGGGACTTGGAGCAGAAACCTGGGCCAGTCTATGTCAGCGCCTACACAAGCTCTTCCTGGAGATGCTGATGCACAGTGAATACAATGGCCACGAGAGTGAGAGCACAGATCAGCTTTCTCTTCCCTTCCTGACTGCCAATCTGCTGGCCTTGGCAGGGCATGGTGGCTTGCACCTGTAATCCCAGTTACTTGGGAGGCTGAGGCAGGAGAATTGCTTGAGACTAGGAGTCGAGACCAGCCTGGGCAACATAGTGAGACTTCATCTCTACAAAAAATTAACACATTAGTCAAGTGGTGGCTTGCATCTATAGTCCCAGCAATTTTGGAGGCTGAGATGGGAAGATTGCTTGAGCCCAGGAAGTCGAGGCTGTGGTAGGCTGTGTTCCCGCAACTGCACTCCAAACAATCTGCTGGTCTCAAGGCCTAAGTTATGTGGCTGCTGCCTGTTTTCACAGCCCTTCCCCTTCTCACCGGGTCCATCACCACAACTTCTTGCCTGGCCTCTCTGGTCTTCAAACTGGTCATCTTCACTTATCCTTCAGACAGCAGTTAGATGGCCTTTTTTATTTTTTGAGTTGGAGTCTCACTCTGTTGTCCAGGCTGGAGTGCAGTGGCATGCTCACGATCGACCCTGCGTCAACCTGCTGGGCTCCGGCGATCCTTCCGCCTCAGCCTTCCAAGTAGCCGGAACTATAGGCGTGCGCTACTATGCCTGGCTAATTTTTGATTTATTGTAGAGACGAGATCTTGCCAAGTTGCCTGGGCGGTTTTGAACCCGTGGGCTCAGGCAATCCACAGCCTACCAAAGTGCTGGGATTACAGGTTGAGCCGCCGAGCCCGGCCAGGTGAGCTTTTAAAATGCAAATCTGATCACACTTAAAATCTTTAGACTCACTTGTGCCCAGTGAATCCTTTCTGTAACCTACAAGGACTTGCTTGACCTGACCCTGCTACTGGCCACTCTGACATCACCTCTTCTTCCCTAGTGCCCTCATCCTGCCCATTGGGTCTGCAGGTACACCTCCCACCTCCGTGCCCTTTGCACGCTGGGCCTGCTGTGTCTGGAACTTTCTTCCTCAGGTCTCCACCTAAAGACTGCCCCTCATCAAAGGCAAGGATAATTGTCCTTTTCTTACAACTTTGCAGTCTGTGTTGAAAGAGTTTCCTTGTGCTTCTACACATGCTAGACAGGAGAGACAGTGTCTTCTCTTTTTCTTTTTTGAGTCAGAGTCTCACTCTCACCCAGGCTGGAGTGCAGTGACACGCTCATGACCTTGGCAGCCTCGACCTGCTGGGCTCAGGTGATTTTCTGCCTCAGCCTTCCAAGCAGCTGGAACTATAGGGACGTGCTGCCACCCTGAGCTAATTTTTTGATTTATTGTGGAGATGAGGTCTCGCCAAGTTGCCCTGGCTGGTCTTGAATCCCTGGGCTCAGGCAATCCTGTCATCTCGGCCTCCTAAAGTGCTGGGATTACAGGCATGAGCCACCACACCCGGCTTG